ATGTTAAAGTGGCCAGGCATTGTACCTATTAATGAAAGGGTATCTAGATTGAATAAAAAGTGATTACTTATATGTTATATAGGGAAACTGTCACAAGTTTCTAAAATTTTGATTGTATGTGTGTCCCATTGATTGTGTCTTGTTCTTTTAAGTAATGTTCAGCAGTAGCTTCTTTGTTGTCAAGATTTCCAGTGGCAATAATGTGTTCTTTGAAACAATCGTATATTGGACGATTGGATTCACCTACATATGTGGCCGAACACTGTGTACATGTATGTTCATGGTCAGCATTTTAATGTGTGGAGGACATTCATCTTTACAAAATACTTTTTGGATTTACATGTATTGTCGTTATTAAAGAGTGAACGAGTGAGTATATCCTTCTGTTTTCTACCAGGTTTTTGTATGATTTTGATATTCAAATCAGATCTTCTAATCGCTTGACGAAGGCGAGTAGTTAAAGGTTCATCTACGAAGGGTATAATCCATGAAACAGTCTCTTGATGTGATAGTTTCTTTTTTTTATGTCATTTGTTAATATCTTGTGAGTTAAAGCTGTGGAATGTCTTAGTAATGTAACTGTACGGGTAGTCATTGGACAACAGTAGCTTTTAAAGTTTGATCCTGGCTTGCGTCTCACTGTCCATGATGTTGCAGATTTTCTCAATCCTATTAAGTTGATAATGACACCTCATTTGGTAGCTGATGGATGGTGCGAGTTCAAATGTACAATAATAGGTTTAACATGTGGTTTATTCTATATAGAAGTAACAAGTTAGCTGTTTTTGATAATGACCATGGTATCAAGAAAGGGTATAGATTTCTGGACATTATTAGTGTCTCTGTAAAAAAAAAAGTGATGTACTGGGTTGGAAAGGGTTAGTAAGCCATAATATTTGTAAGATATTTAGTTTATCTTATTCAAAACCCCCTGAACTGTATGGATTACCCAAAGATCATAAACCTGATACACCCCGAAGACCCATAATATGCAACTCTCCTTTAGTGTCTGTATCATGGCTACTTGAAAAGTTACTTCACCGTCTCCTCAACAAAATACCTTCACACTTTAATATCACTGATGACTTTCTCAACAGGCTATGCAGAGATGATTTAGAGATAAATTTGAACACCTTTACTCTTGGTGTTGTTTCTATGTATCCTTCCATTACAGTAGAAGAAAGTATAAGCTCAGTTATGAATCTTCTTAGATCGACCAGCTGTTATACTACCATTGATATTCCTATAGAAGTTATTGAAAATTCTCTCAGATTTATTCTCCACAACATTTACTTCAAATTTGATTCAACTCTCTACAAACAAAAGAAAGGCATCGCTATGGGCAATAATATTGCTGTCGTTGTGGCCTCTTATTTTTATGCATTTCTTTAAATCATCAGCTCTTACACAGTGGAATTTTGAAACTAACCTTGAACCAACTAGATAGTACGGATATATTGACAACATTTTTGGTATATGTAATCATGGACTCCCTTCTCTTTTGCATTTGATTGAATTCCTTAATAATCAACCCTCTGACATAATGCTCACGCTTACTCATACCGAAACAAAATATTCTCTCTGGTCTCCCCTCTTTCCTCAAATTGCCCACAAAATAAAATTACACTTCAAATGTTCACATACATAATATTAACCATTTACTTTTTGAAAAAGCAATAAAAAAATTACTAACACTAATTTCAATCCAACCACAAAACTTAAAATTGTTTGCCCAGATAAACTTTGACAGCATACAAAACATAGCTGCAAATCTATGGTATCTGTACAAGTTTATTGTTTATCCATAGCTCAAATAGTTTGAAAAACAGTAATGTGTCTTAAGTTGATGGTGTCAAAAAGGGAAAAATTCAACTAACTAAACTTTGTTTTATGATGTTCCAACATTTTAAAGTTAATAAAATCATAAATATACTATGAAAAATCTAAGGTTATTCATTTCAATTTATTTGATATAGATCTCCCCTTTTGTCAGTATATAAATTTCTAAACTTTTAGTTATGTGAGAAGCCTTTAACATGACTTCAAATAATCTTACAATATCATGGTTCTGCATGTTTTACATGCTAACTCAAAAAACAATTAATTAATTTTAGTGGTTCCCCTATTTTGCTGAAGCAATTACGTTGGGAGTTGCTTTATGCTTTTCGAAACCTTTAACTGGTAACTTGAAACTATGAAGCCTTAAGGTGGCCTATGGTCTGTCATGAACCTAGATTAACAGAGGTCTTTTTGAAACAATTCTTCATAATTTATAAAAGGAATACAGAAGTAAATTTTATAAATAAGCTATAGTAAGAAAAATACTAAGTTTTTTTTTAATGAGATCTAACAATGTATGAATTATATCAACAAAATAAGTAAGTTCATGATGTCATTAAGCTACTAACTGTATTTTTTACTAATGAAAATGTGTACAACCTGGCTTTCAAGTCAAAAGTTAGACATACTGAGTAATAACAGATATATCTAAAACAAGCAGTGGTTTTTATTTGATAATAGATTGAAAATTTACTAATACTGACCATAGTTACAGTACAGCAAACAAGAAGAACGTAACCTTTTGAGCTTTTCCAAATACTAAGGCCACATTATGCTTAATTATGATTTAGTACAAAGATAATTTCCTAACACAAAAACATTTAAAAAAATGTTTTTTACTTACATATCTTTGGTGAGTTCCTTTTGATAAGCTATAGGTGACTGTAAGGCTGTTAGAGATAAATATAAAAATAATCATTATGCTGATACTTGGTATAATTACTTTATAATTCAAGTTTTTAACTTCAATAATAACCAACAATTTTTATATCTACTGAAAGATCATAAGTTTAGATCAACAATGTTATTTAATGTGATGCATATATGATGTGTAACAATGAAACTGCATATAATTTGGATGTGTTACAGATGTCTTTTGCATCATAAAACTATTTTCTGGCTGCAGCAAATGGCTTTCCCATGTGTATTTGTTTTTATTATAATAAACATAACTTGTTCATAGCTTCATAAATAAATTATCACCTCTTCTTTTCAATGCATTACATATATTTTCCATAAATATTCTAAATAATGAAGAATATTTTTATTAGAAAATAATACTGTAGTCATCATTTGTTATATTTCATTTCTAAAGTAAATATGCACCCTCTTTAACTCCATGACAACAACATCATTTTTAAACTGCTTTCTGTGCATGCCAATCAGTGTACATTCAAAATTTCATTTAACCACTTTACTATCAATGTATTTTAACGAAATTATTGTTATTAACAAGTATGTTACAGTTCAAAATTTTATATTATTAGTTTTTATACCTTTATTTCAAAGAAACATTGAAAGCAATAATGAAATTTCACAGGTTTGTGTCACATGATGGGCTGCATGAACTATAAACAACGTTGAAATTTGGGAAAGTATAGCTTGAAGCATAAGGCAATAGTCATGTACATGTAAGTCTAGACAAGAATGTAGCTTACTTAATCTTTTACTTAGTACTTTTGCTAAATGAAGCTGAAACAAGAAATAAAATTTGTCAACACCTGACAGGTGCCACCTCCACCTTCTATAGCTTAAGGTTGAGCTTTAAAAGTTACATGTACTTTCAACATGTAAAGGTTTATAATCGTGAGAAAGAGCTAATTTTACACTATAATCCAACAACAGTTATTTTTAAATCGGTGCCAACTTGTCATTCTCAGGCAGATGTGACTGCTCGTACTATTCTTGCCTGTTTTGTTCATGATAGCACTTCAGTTGTTTCTTACCTAAATATGTTATAGTTACACAGACAGTTAAATTGTATTTAGGTTTTACTTTTATGTTTTAGTTAATTATGCATTATTTGTGTTTTAAAATTCATATTTGAAAGGTTTAATATTTCTTATAAAATAACCAAAGGTTCCCTTATTCTGCAAGGCTTCTTTACCAAGTGTATAAAACGATTCTGACAGAGGCTAAGGTACCTCATCTCTACCATTCATATCATTCTATTGTCTGTGGGTACCTGCTGATGTATGTTGACAATAAATAATCAATGGTACAGAATTGCAAAAGAAAATAAAACAAACCATAAGAAAAAAAAAGTAAAGACGTGAAATTACGCATATGACCCCAAGAAGATATTTTAAGATTATTCAACAGAGAGTTAAAAGGTATGTACATATTTCTATTTCTTTAAAGAAAAATGTGGAATGAGACTCCATTAATTTCACATCCTTGTTCATTATCTAGGTAGCCGTGGCAGGAAATATGTACAGTTTTAACACAATGGTTGTTTAAGACAGAAGGTTCTCTTTTGTAACGATAATCTTCACTTCACAAATGAGGGTGATGGTACTAAATGCCTGTTGTGTGGCACTTACCAGTTTCATGGAAAACACTGGATGCTCACTTCTTCAAAATGGTGTATCTTTTGAAACTACACTGTTCAACAATATCACTAAATAAATATTTCACACACTTCTCTAACTAGACACACATCAAGTTTAATTAAGCATTTTACAAGCAGGTTAGTGCAACTTGATATAATTTACATGCATTTCCATAACTTGTAATTAATTTTGTATTACGCCATAAAATCACTAAACAAGTTGATTGCTTTTAACTGTATAAATTCCATAAATATGTGACAGTTACTTACCTCTTAAGAAGTCCAACTGTGTGTCTAGGATAGCTCGAATATTCGCAACCCATTCATCTCGTTCTTCTTGAGATGTTCCTTGAATAACGAAACACAAACCTTGCTGATTGGGGTCTTTTGACTTCAGAACAAATTTTAGATTATCTTCATCATCAGCTTGTTCATCCAGTGACATTTTATTAACCTAAAGAAACAAAAGGAAAAAATCTAATACCAGGTGATAATGCTGCATAAGAAATATCACAAAAGTTTACCCCTCATTTAATCATTGACAAATATTTAATTTAATGACTGATTTTGTTTTTTTGTGACATAAAACAACTCAAACAGCTGCAAATGAAGATCTAGACAATAGTGTATATATGTTTCTATAGAGTAGTCATTACACACAGCTTACTGAAATCCTAATACACAAACAACTGATTTACAATATTAGGATGACACCCTCCATTTGATTTCAATAAACTTGGATACTTAAAGAGAGAACAAAACAAAGATACCATCACAATACACAGCATAAAAACAATAACAAAGAAGTCACATTTTTAATGTCATGTTTTGAAATACTTTCTTCTATTTTTAGATCATTTACTTTTTTTATATTGAGGATTTATGGCCTGAAAATATTGAATATGACCTTTTAATGAGCTTCAACAGTAATAAAAATATACTGAAAGTAATAAGTTGCATCTAAAACTAAAACAGACCTGAAGAGGCTTGTCAAATTTCATAACTTAAAAATAAAACACAAGAGTAAACAAACATGAAGCTGGGTAAACATTACACTAAAGATAAAGCAGGTGAAAAACAAACAAAAACTAGATTCCTTTACAGATAATATGCAAGAACCAAGAAGTGCACTTTAATAAATATCTACTACGCAAATTTATCCTCAAACCTCTGTATGTTTAGCAGTGCACCAACAGTAAGTTTTACACTGATAAAGGAATGAAAAGATAATTACATATTCTAGACCTAGGGACTTTGTAGCAAAAAAATGTTCACAGAATAGAATATATTCTTAAATTTTGTAAAGGGAACTGTGAAAGTAAGAAAATTAGACACGAGTATATAGTAAGTTTAGGTACAGTTGGTATCTTAACTGGATTTGTGAGTTTCTTTGTTAGGAAGAAGTTGGTAATGTTTTCTAATAAGTGTTGTGGATAGCAAGTGCATTTCAGGATGTCATGTAAGAACGAAATTTCAGAATGTAGACTTGCAAAGGATAGAGAAATTTGATAGTATAGGTTGATGTCCTGTTTCTTCTCTATGTTGGCATATAGAGGAAACACAGTGGTTATTCATTTTTTTTTGTATTTTGATGGAAATTCCCATATGTTCATAGGCTCTGACTTTTAAATGGCATTTGGTTTTGAAATGAACCTATCCAGCTTACAGTCTGATATCAATAAACTGTCAAAACTTTAATGTAATTTCCTATATTTTATATATTTATAATAAATGTGGCTATCAGAGAACACATGGATAATAATATACGTGAAAGACCCAAACCTATTTGTATTAATTTTAACCATTCTTAGATCTAAAATATTTTTTCTGTCATTGTTAAACAAAATAATTTAGAGATACACTTTAACCATAAGTTTACTGATAGAGCTTTTTTATTTTAAGACATAAAGTTGACACACATAAATTCTTAAACTTAACTTTCTTTTATTCCATTCAGCTGCTATATTCAAATACTGTTCTGTAATTTTGCAAAAATCTGGTGTTTTTCTGTGATGCATCTTATGTGATTATCTATACTGCCTCCTCAAGAAGGAATGCTATTAGCAAATAGTGAGTTTTAAATTCCCTTTCATAAGCTTTGTAAGTGTTTTAATCCTAAAGTTTCATGCTTCTTTCAAATCTTTCTTCACCATACTAAAATAAGGAAAAAATTGGAATAATTATAACAGTTATTTTATACTTTCGAAAGAGACTCACCTGTAAATGATTTTTGTAGATATAGACAGGGTTTGAAAACTGTGTTTTCTGACCAACGGATTCACTAAAGATAATAATTTGTTCAAACAAAAAGACCTGACGCTCTTTCATTTTGCCACCAGAAAGTGGTTCTCCTACAAGAAGACTACCTTGAAGCAACAGCTTACCCTGCGCAGTAATTTTACCCTGGTAAGAAAAATATTCACACTGTAATTCTCTGAATTTTGATTCTACTCTAGTAAGAATAAGAATACAACTGTGTCTTTTAATATACATTTCAATAATTATATTCTTTTGTTTGTTTATGTTATATATACATATACATACTGTAATCCATGTGAAAATAAGTGCACCTTGTTCAGAAAAATGTACTTATGTATGTGTTATGGTTGTTTTCTAATTTCTATAAAGCCCAGATTTGTTTAACCCTTTCCAGATGGGTCATAGGTGAAAGGCAATGTCATCTCACTTGTTGATTCACATTTAAAATTCTATTGAACTACTATTTCATGAATTTATGTCAATAAGTTTGGTACCAAACTGTAGGTTATAATTCAAATTTTAGAACTATACATTACTCAATTTGTTAATTTAAAAGTAAATATTCAAAAAACACACCTAAACATTGATTTTTGTATTTGCTAAGATATTGCTCATGTAATAAATCAAACATAGTGGCACCCCACTCACCTCCTTCCAATTTTGGAGACCCTCCCTCATATGCACTAACTCAGAATGTCCCCCTAGTTCAGCCTTTCTAACGTCCCTAGCGATATTTCTTTCTTTTAAACCAAGATTTCAATGAGGTAGGTTGTGTCTTTAGTCTGCTCAAT